AAGAGGCTTGCGGATGAGCCTCATTGGCGTTGTGTGCGCATGAGTGGAATGAGCATGAACTAGTATGGAATGATGGAATTGCAGCCGGCAGGCTGAGGAGGAGTGTGTTGGGTGCAAATTCAGTTTGCACGACATCTTGCCGTCTGTTTGTATGAGTATGCGTGTGCGAATGTATTTGCGTGTGAATGGTGTGTTCGTGTGTTTGTTTGCTTTCGCAATTTTTGCTTGAAGCATTTGCAGGTACTCGCGCAATGTGCGCTTCGGCACAACATTGTACGCGCTATGAACAGTGCAAGCAGAAAGGACGAGCTTGCAAAGGAACCCAAGATGGAAGCTTTGCAGTTCGGTTGAATTGATTGCGCAGATTCAGTTCTATCCAACTCGAAATTGTACTGTATTGTTTGGTTAACTATAGTGTAGCAGGGCAGGCACTATAGGGGTACAATTTAGGTAAAGGTTGGATGTTGTTTGTCTGTATCTGCATGCTACAAGGCCAGGGGAAACCAGCAGAACCAGCATTTGGCTGGTTGGGCAAAGACAAAACAGGTTCTGTTTTTAGAACCTGAACCTGGTTGTTGTTTTCCCAGGTTGGAAAAACAGAACCAGAGGTTGTTTACCAGCCTACCACCTGCTATTTTGTCTAGCCAGGTTGGTTCTGTTGCTTGGAATTATTTGGGATCATCCCTGGTTGTTCCCAGGATGATTCCCAAGGTCCTTGCTAGCTAGAACTATTTAGTCCTTCTCTGTTTGTACCTGGACATAGTCAATTGATTCATGCGAATTCCTTCCTCGCTGGAATTTCATTTCTACGCGGTTCGTTGGCGGAATGCTACCCGAGTCAACGCTAGTACGCTAGCACCCTAATGCTAGGCAAATACCGTCCGAGCCATAACTTTGTAATGGCAGAACATTTCGCGAGGCAACTTGGCTTATTTTAAAGATCTTGGAGCAAGCTTCGATATAGCGAATTCTCAGCTTAATCCGATCGACGGTCTGCACGGCACGCTGCGCGACGTTCAAGGTACTCTTGCTGTTTTGACTAAGTCCTTCTTGATCCCTCTCTCTACAAACTCGGACCCGAGGATAGGGGCTGGTCTTGTACCAGGCACCCAGGGACCCTTGGAGGTGACCCCGAGGAGAGGTATTAAGTTTGATTAAGTCCTAATAGCTTGAGTTTAGCTGCCCAACCGAGAAAGAGATGTCGGGCCTCGTGTGAACTGCTGCATACAAGAGGCTGCCCACCAAGGACTGAAATTTCTGCTGCTCCTCGGCTTCAACCCCTTCATCCTCTGCAGCCTTTACAAGGTTGAACTCACCTGGCAGGGGAGTTGCAATCTTGCGCTCATATTCAATTCCATACTTCTTCCCCAGCTGCTTGACAAGCTTTTCTTGGTGCAGCTTTAACCACCTGTGATCCAGGTCCCTCTTCACGTGCATCCCGAAGTAGTACTTAACCTTCCCAAGGGTCTTGCATTTGAAGTTCTCCATCAGCTGCTGCTGCACTTTCTGGATCTCCTTCATGCTGCTGCTGAAGAGAAGAATGTCGTCCACGTAGACCAGAAACAGCACCAACTCCTCTCCCTCCCCCTTGAGAAAGAGGCTCTCATCACAGCTGCTGGTCCTGAATCCCATCTCCTCTAAAACAGCTGCCAACTTCTGGTACCAGCAGCGTGGCGCCTGCTTCAAGCCGTAGATGGACTTGTTAAGCGTGCACACCCCGCCCGTACCATCCTCATACCCAGGCGGCTGCGTCATGTACACATCCTCCTCTAATGTTCCGTTGAGAAATGCCGTTGATATATCCATCTGAATGATAAATTTCCCACTAACGGCTGCATCTGCCAACAAGACATGGAGGGTAGGGGGTTTGGCAGTGGGAGCAAAGATCTCATCGAAGTCCCTCATCTCCTTCTGCTGAAACCCGTTGGCCACCAACCTACTCTTGTAGATGGTGACCTGCCCCTTGTCATCGGTCTTAATCCTCAACACACTCTTGCACTGTAAGGCTTTCTTCCCCTCAAGCAGCACCACCAGATCCCATGTCCCATTTCTAGCTGGCTCAGATACTCGGCATCCCTAGAAGCCAGCCACTTATCCCTATCTGGTCCAGCTAGTGCCTCCTCCATGCTAGCTGGTTCCTCTGATGCAGGGGCAAGAAAACAGTAGGCAGGTTCATCATGCTCATTCCAAGCTGCTGCTCTGCTACATCAGCTCCTGCAGTCAGCTTCATTGTTGCCATGCGGGTGCGTCCTGGCCTAGAGACGGGTGTCTCCCATCCCTTCATAACGACACCCTTCAGCTTCCTCCTTTGTGGTAGCTTAGGCACCTTAGCTTTGCCCTGCTGCTGCTCTCCTCCCTCAGATCCAGCAGCTTCCCTGGTGCCACTAGTCTCCACATCATCTCCTCCACCAGCAGGTGCCTCTTGCACCTTCTCTCCATCACCACCCTCTGCAGCTGCCTCCTCTCCCTCCTCCCACACACTAGGAGTCAGGTCCAGCTGCATGGTAATCTGCTCCATCCGCTGGAACACCCCGGTGTTTCTCCCAGCTCCCATACATCATGCCCTCAACAAACTTCACATCCCTGCTGTCAAACAACACACCCTTGGATGGTTCCCACAACAGCCATCCCTTGCTCTCAGCAGCCAGCCCTAAATGCACTCACCAGATTGCACTCGCCCCCAACTTACTGCGGTAGGTCTTGGGGACGTGGGCGACTGCCATGCAACCAAACACCTTCAGCATGTCCACCGGCGGCTTCCTCCCAAGCCACCTCTCCAACGGCACCAAAGAGTCATCCCCAACCTTGGTGAGCACCCTGTTCCTAGCCACGGTAGCGTGCCGAACAGCATGGGGCCACATGGAAATGCTCAGCCTAGATTCTATATGCAGCGCCTTAGCTGTCTCCAGAATTGTCCAGTTCGCCCGTTCTGCTACACCGTTGGACTGTGGGGTGTAAGCCATGGTCAGCTCCCTCTGGATGCCCTGCTTCTTGAGCCAGGCTGTCATTTCAGCTCCAAGGAACTCACCACCTCGGTCTGTCCTAATCCGCTTCACTACACACTCCGCTTGCTTCTCCACAAATGGCAGCCAATCGTCCCGTATCGTGGAGGCGGCGTGGTCCTTCTGCTTCAGCGGAAACGCTCACATCAGCCTGCTCCAATCATCCACTATGGTTAGGAAATACCGCTCCCCCTTGTGCCCTTGCACTGGCAGCGGCCCCACCAAGTCCATGTGGACCAGCTCCAAAGGCTTCTTGCTCCTGCCAGCCACACTGTTGAAGGGGAAACGGGAAAACTTTGAGAGAATATAAGTTTCACAGTTGTCATCGGGTGGCTATCCGTTCAGCTTCAGACCCTTTACTGCTCCATCCTTCTCAAACTGCTCCAACAACGGCATTGCTACATGCCCCAAGCACCGGTGTGCCGTTGCCCAATCTGTCTCCCCAGATCTGGCCGACACTTTCACACCAACCCCTCCAACGGCGTTGCACTCCCCCTAGGATGCAGACCCCTCTCCAGCCTGCCCCCCACCGTGCCACGCCAACGCTGGCAGCTTCCACATAGATCTGTATACATCCTTGCTTTCGTGTAGATCCCAAAGCACCCGATTTCACAGCTGCCCCTTATACGTACGAGCCCCATCCGTGCTAGTGCTCACCCCAGCCTTGGCAAGCTTACGGAGGGAGATGAGGTTGGCCTTGAGGTCGGGGACGAGGAGAACGTCGTGCAGCACCACCGGCTTGCCATCCGCTCCCTTAAACGCAGCTCGTCCCGCACCAGCCACCTTCAACGCGTGTCCAGAGACGGAGCGCACCTCATTGATTGATGCAGCGTGTTACGTCGTTCAGCAGCGCCCGTGTCCAACACCCAAAAGTCCAGGGGGTGCAGCTCTGCTCCAACCTTGGCAGAGCCGACATGGAAGAACTGGCCCGCGTCGCGCTCCTTCTTCTTCTCAGCACCGCCGTTGCCCTTCGGGTTATTGTCGGACGAATCAGCGACCATGCTTGCGCCGTTTTTCTGGTTCTTCCGCGCGCCGCCATCCTGTCAAACATTATATATGTTGTATTTGTGTAGGCTGTAGTGGGTTAGCCTATAGGGGGGTCACAACATTAGGGTTTCATATTTGTACTCACAATCCTTGCTAGTTCATCATTCCAGTCCGTTATTTCTGACATGGTATCAGAGCAGGTCCTTCGCTAGGACCGTTCTTAGGGCCCACCGTTACCTACCTACCTACCGTGCGCCTCGTGCGCCTACGCGCCCTCGTGCGCCTCCTACCTACCGCGCGCGCGCAGCCCGCCAGCCGCCCGCGCGCGACTCGACTTTTTTTTTTGGCCGCTAGCCGCCCGCCGCGGTCGATTTCGCTGCGCGCGCCCCGCTAGCCGCACGCGCGCGGCTGTTTTCTTTACGCGCGGCCCCGCACGCTGCCCGCGCGCTGCCTGTGCGCCTCGCTGACGCGCCCGCTGCTGCAGCCGCCCGTCGCCCGCTCGCGCGCACCCCGCCGTGGCCCCGCAGGCCCGCAGCTCGCCGCCGCAGCTGCCGCACGCCCGTTGCCCGCAGCCGCCCGTCCGCCGACGCCGCTGCCGCCCGTGCACCGATGTCGCTGCCACCCGTGCGCTGCTGCCGCTGCTGCTTGCGCACCGCTCGCTGCTGCAGCCGCCCGTGCGCTGTCGGCGCTGCTGCCCGTGCGTATAAGCCCGTCGCCTGCTCGCGCACGCCCCGCTGCCCGCAGCCGCTCGTACGCCGCTGCTTCCGCTGCTGCTTGCGCACTGCTGCCTCCCGAGCGCCGCCGCTGCCTGTGCGCCGCCGCTGCTAGTGCGCCGTCGCTGCTCCTACGCTGCCGCTGCCCGTGCGCTGCCGCTGCCCGTGCACCGCCGTTCCCCGTGCGCCGCTGCCGCCCGTGCGCTTCTGCAGCCGCCGCCCGCGAGGCACTCGCTCTCACTGTTGTTTATTTTCTACCTACCGTACTACTGCTACTACTGCTACTGCTACTGTCGCCATGGCTAGTCCGCCAGTTCTAGCTTTCGATGCCGAGGGCCGTCCAGTGAAGTTCGAAACCTGGCTAGATGACCTGCACCTGTTCCTACAGCTCACTGCCAAGGAAGACATCTCACTGTACGACCACGCCCTAGGCCATGCCACTGCCCCTGACTCGTCTGCTGACAGCACTCTGCGTTCTCAGTGGCAGACCCGTGATGCGCACGCTCGCTTTGCTATTCGCAACTCCCTGCCACTAGACGAGCGCGAGCACTTCGGCCAGTGCAAGACTGCTAAGGACCTCTACACCGCTGTAGTTGCCCGCTACTCCTCACCCGCTTCTGCCACGCTAGGCCGCCTCACTCTCCCCTACCTGTTCCCTGACCTAGCCTCCTTTCACACTGTCGCAGACCTCATCACCCACCTTAAGACTAGTGAGGCCCGCTTTCGCGCTGCTATGCCTGCCGAGTTTCTCACTAGCAACCCCCCCCCGCTCTGGATCACTCTCTACCACATCGTCACCCGCCTCCCTGACTCTCTGCGCGCAGTCAGGGACCACTTCCTCTCTCGCTCCCCCACTGAGCTCACTGTTGCCCTCCTCGAGAAGGAACTGCTTGCAGCTGAGGCGAGCATCGTCGCTGTAGGCACCTCTCGTGGTGACCCCCGCACCCCGTTCTTTGAGGGGTGTTCCCCTTCCCCCCTCCTCCCCTCTGTCGCCTCTGCTGCTGCTGTCGACCTTCTTGGTGCTGAGAAGGTCGGGACCGCGTCTGCTTCGAGTGGGCGCCGCAGGAACAAGGGGGGCAGGGGTGGGGGTGGCGGCGGAGGAGGTGGGGGTGGAGGCGGTGGGAGTGGAGGCGCGGCTGGGGAGACTAGTGGCGGCAGTGGGGGAGGAGACAGCGGCGGTGGGAGTGGTGGTGGAGGCGGCAGCGGAGGCGGAGGTGGTCGTGGCGGCGGCAGGGGTGGAGGTGGCCGGGGCGGCGGCGGTGGGGGTGGTGGTCGTGGAGGCACTGGCGGAGGGCAGAGTCAGCAGCCCGCCCCGACGCTTCAGGCCGCCCGTGAGTGGTATGCGCAGCGTAGCGTTACCTGCACGTACGTCATTCGCACAGGTGACCGCAGCGGCCAGCAGTGTGGGAGGCCGCACCCCACGCAGCGCTGCTTCGCGCGCCTTAACGACGCGTGGCGCACTCAGTTTCCTGCTGCCACTGAGCTGCCGCGCTGGGCTGATCTGGAAAAGAGGGGTGTTGATATTTGGGCTTTAGACTTTGATGCTATTCTCACTGCCATGTATGCAATGTCTATTAGTGGAGAGGGTGCTCAGTACTTGCGTGTTCCGCCCGACCCGGGCATTCAGGCCAGTCCGGCTGCCGCTCTAGGTGCTAGTGCGTCTGCTCCCACAGGTCCTGGTGAGGCTGCAGCCCTAGGTGCTCGTGCGTCCGTGCCCCCTGGTACTGAGTCGACTGCAGCACTGCACACCTTCACACTGGACTCAGGTGCTTCTCGCTCCTTCTTTCGTGACCGCACTGTCCTTGAGCCACTCGCTCGGCCAGTTGCTGTCTCCCTTGCTGACCCCTCTGGGGGTCCGGTCATTGCGACCTCCTCCACTGTCCTTCCTTGTCCGGCGGTCCCGTCCGGCACGCTGTCAGGTCTCTACCTCCCCTCGTTCTCTACGAACTTGGTGGCAGGTAGTGCGCTCCAGGACGGGGGTGTTCACCAGTTCACCCCTGCCTACGAGCGCGTGACACACTGCACGTGTGCTCGGACGGGTCGCCACCTGGCTACCTTCACTCGGGAGCCGGGGTCGGACCTTTACACACTGACCACTGAGTCCCCTCAGGTAGCTGCGTCCGCGTCTGCGTCAGCGTCAGGTCAGCTGTCCGCCCCCTGCTCGTGTCGCTCTCTGGCGCATGAGACTGTCCTTTGGCACCACCGCCTTGGCCACCCGTCTGTGCAGCGCCTTCGGGCCATGCACAAACGGGACCTTGTTGCTGGTCTTCCCAGGGTGCTCCCTCCCCTTCCCGACTCGCCTGCTCCTCCCTGTATTCCCTGTGTCGAGGGACGGCAGCGCGCCGTTCCTCACTCCTCCTCCTTTCCCCCGACAACTGCTCCCTTGCAGACGCTCCCTTGCGCGCCAAGGGTGACGTCCCTGATGTCTTGATCCCTTGGATCCGCAGATCTCGTCTCCAGCTCCGTGAGCGTTTCCGCTCCGACTTCCCTGTCCTGCGTCTGCACTCTGACAGAGGTGGGGAGTTTTCCTCTGGCCTATTGGAGGCCTTTTGTCAGCAGGAGGGCATTGAGCAGTCGTACACGCTTCCGGCCTCTCCACAGCAGAATGGGGTTGCTGAGCACCGCATTGGTCTGGTCATGGAGGTCGCTCGTACCTCCTTGAGCCATGCAGCTGCCCCCCATTTTCTGTGGCCGTTTGCAGTCCGATACGCTGCGCATCAGCTCAACCTCTGGCCCCGTGTCTCCTTGCCCGAGACTTCTCCGACACTGCGTTGGACGGGAGAGGCTGGCGATGCGTCGCGTTTTTGGGTCTGGGGATCCCGAGCTTTTGTCCGCGACGCGTCCGCGGACAAGCTCTCCCGTCGCGCTGTCCCCTGCGTCTTCCTTGGCTTTGTCCCGGACGCCCCTGGCTGGCAGTTCTACCACCCCACCTCGCGTCGTGTCCTGGCCTCTCAGGACGTCACTTTTGACGAGTCCGTCCCCTACTACCGCCTCTTCCCCTACCGCACTGCCCCGCTCCCCCCCCCGCCTCTCTTCCTCGCTCCAGGTGCAGAGGTACCAGACCCCCTCCCCCCTCAGGGTGCCGCTCCCTCAGGTGTGTCCCAGGTAGACCCGGGTGAGCCTGTCGAGGTAGCTGTTGACTCTCGTCCTGCTAGGGGTGCTGAGCCTGGGGGTGCTGCGTCTGGGGGTGCTGAGCCTGGGGGTGCTGCGTCTGGGGGTGCTGAGCCTGGGAGTGCTGGGTCTGGGGGTGCGGAGCCTGGGGGTGCTGAGCCTGGAGGTGCGGAGCCTGGAGGTGCTGAGTCTGGGGGTGCTGAGTCTGGGGGTGCTGAGCCTGCGCGTACTACACCTGGAGGAGCCCTCTCCTCCCAGCAGCTGCAGGAGAGGTACCTCGAGTACTGCCGCCTCCGGAGAGGTGCTCCTGGAGCTCGTCCCGGTACTTTCCCTCCTACCCAGGAGCTCCCCCCCATTCAGCAGATCCGCGAGTGGTACACACGGCGCTGCAGTCTTCGGAGTGGTGCTCCTGGTGCTGCGGACCCTGGGGGTGGCGCTGCTGCTGGTGCTGCGGACCCGCCTGGTGGAGCTGCTGCTGGTGCTGAGGACTCGGACGTTGGAGCTGCTGCTGGAGCTGAGGACCCGGGCGGTGGCGCTGCTGCTGGTGCTGAGGACTCGGACGGTGGAGCTGCTGCTGGTGCTGAGGACCCGAGCGGTGGCGCTGCTGCTGCTGCTGAGGACCCGGGCGTTGGAGCTACTACTGGTGCTGAGGACCCGGCCGGTGGAGCTGCTGCTGGTGCTGTGGACCCGGACGCTGGAGCTCCTACTGGTACTGAGGACCCGGCCGCTGGAGTCTCTTCTGCTTCTGGAGACGCTGCGCGGCCGCGACCGTACTTCGTACCGCTCCTTCAGCAGGTTCTTGGGCAGGCTCCTCCTCCTTGTCCTCCTCCCTCCGTAGAGTGTCCTCCGCCTGTCCAGCCGCAGTCACAGTTACTGCCTACCTCGCCTCTCCCTGCTCCCTCTCCTTACACTAGTCCCACAGGAGGTCTTACAGAGCGTCGTGAGCCTGAGTCTCGTCCTGTGTCGCCTGTTCGTCCTGCTCGCACTGGTAGTCGTGTCCGTCGTGAGCGTCCTCCTCCTGTCCCAGGCACTCACTACATGACTCTGCGTCCCTCTACTGCTCCTCAGCGTGTCCCTCTACCGTCTCCTCCTGCGTCCTCTTTGCCTGACGTTCCGGACCCTGAGTCTGACCGGTTTCGTGCTGAGCACCCTACTGTCATGCGTCTCCTTGCTACTGTTGTCACTGACCCTACCTTTGAGTCCTCGGCTGCGTCTGCTCTGGTCGCTGAGTTGGTTGACTTTGCTGCTGCCTGTCGTCTAGACTACGCTGCTAGCCTTGTTGCTGAGTCTGAGTCTGTCTGTCCTCCGTCCGTCGGGGGTGAGTGTGCTCTTGGCACGGACGTCCTTGAGGACAGACAGGAGGAGTTCCAGTGTCTTGCTGCTGCTTTGCCCCGTCTCGTGTCCTTGCTAGTTGCCCCTGAGGGAGACCCGGATGCACCAGACATCCCGACCCCGCGCACTTACGCTGAGGCGATGGCGGGTCCCTACTCCTCTCAGTGGCAGACAGCCATGGACGCCGAGATGGCTTCCTGGAAGTCCACACGCACCTACATCGACGAGGTTCCCCCTCCTGGGGCGAACATCGTCAGTGGCATGTGGATTTTCAGGGTGAAGCGGCCGCCGGGTTCTCCGCCTGTCTTTAAGGCGCGTTACGTGGCTCGAGGCTTCAGTCAGCGAGAGGGAGTTGACTTCTTCCAGACCTTCTCCCCCACCCCGAAGATGACTACTCTTCGGGTGCTGCTGCACATAGCCGCTCACCGCGACTACGAGCTTCACTCGCTTGACTTCAGCACTGCTTTCTTGCAGGGCAGCCTGCACGAGGAGATCTGGCTGCGCCGCCCACCTGGCTTCACTGGGTCGTTTCCTCCTGGTACCCAGTGGAGGCTTCAGCGGCCGGTCTACGGTCTCCGCCAGGCTCCGCGTGAGTGGCACGACACACTGAGGACTACACTTGCGGCTCTTGGGTTCGCGCCTTCTACAGCTGACCCGTCGCTGTTCCTGCGCACCGACACTTCGCTGCCGCCGTTCTACATCCTCGTGTACGTCGACAACTTGGTCTTTGCCACTGCTGACACTGCAGGACTTGCCTACGTGAAGTCGGAGCTGCAGAAGAGACACACGTGCACAGACCTGGATGAGCTGACAAGCTATCTTGGCTTGCGGATCACCCGGGACAGAGCACGGCGCACCATCACCCTGACTCAGTCACACATGGTGCAGCAGGTTCTCCAGCGCTTCTGCTTCAAGTACTCCTCGCCTCAGTCCACTCCTCTGCCTACCGGTCACTCGCTCTCAGCTCTGCCTTCGGATGAGTCCGTAGAGCCGAGTGGCCCGTATCCAGAGCTTGTGGGCTGCCTCATGTACCTGATGACCTGCACTCGACCTGACCTTGCATACCCTCTTAGCATCTTGCACACTATGTCGCTCCTGGCCGTCACAGGAAGGAGCACATGGATGCCGCTTAGAGGATGTTGCGCTACTTGTGTAGTACGTCGGGCATGGGGCTTGTGCTTGGAGGGCGAGACCGAGTTGTTCTCACAGGGCACTCAGACGCTTCTTGGGCAGACGACCAGGCCACTCAGCGGTCGTCTCAGGGTTACACCTTCAGCCTTGGCTCTGGCTCAGTTTCTTGGCGCTCTACTCGCTCTTCTTCTGTTCTCGGCTCCAGTTGCGAGGCTGAGATCTACGCTACAGCCATGGCTGCCCAGGAGCTACGCTGGCTGACCTACCTGCTGACCGACCTCGGAGAGCGGCCTCGTTCTCCTCCAGTACTGTACGTCGACAACAAGGCTGCCATTGCCTTGTGTGAGGAGCACAGACTGGAGCACAGAACGAAGCACATCGCCCTGCGGTACTTCCTTGCTCGTGAGCTGCAGCAGCGCGGTCAGCTTTGTATTCGCTACGTGGCCACTGAGGCCAACACTGCTGATGTGTTCACCAAGGCGCTTCAGCCTCGTGACCATCAGCGCTTCTGCACTCTACTAGGCCTTGTGCCTACTGGACCTCACTTACTTACCTCTTGACTTTGCTTGTACTGTGATCACTATATATATCTATATCTGCATGTTTACTCTTGCTAGGTTGTGATCACTGTATCTCTTGCTCTGTTATAAACCTGCATGTGAACTGGTCTTGTGACCACTAGCTTGTGCTCGGAATTTGTGTGGAATCCTTGAGATCCACCCTGAGCTTGTTGTTGTCTTCCTTTGTGTGTCAAACATTATATATGTTGTATTTGTGTAGGCTGTAGTGGGTTAGCCTATAGGGGGGTCACAACATTAGGGTTTCATATTTGTACTCACAATCCTTGCTAGTTCATCATTCCAGTCCGTTATTTCTGACACATCCTGGTGACGATTCTGGGGGGTCCATCCATCGGGTTTCTTACAACACAAACACCAGGGATGCCCCTCTTTCTTACAATACCAGCAACTCCCATTTATTTTGCCACCAGCACCTGACTTGCCCCCACGTCCAGATTTCGCACCGCGACCCCAACCGGTACCTCCTTGTTGGTCGTTGGAGTCGTCTTCGTTTTTTTTTTTTTTTGTTGGTTGTTTTTTGTTCGTTCTTTTGCTCTTTTTAACAACTTCCAGAATTCTCATCCGCACCCACTGGAGCGTCCACAAGCTCTGGTTCTGCGGCAGGCAAAGTCCGCGCGTAAATTGAAGCCATGATTTTGGCAGCAGCGAGAGCATCTTCAAGCACTTGGTCTGCTCCGGGTAGGTGATTCCCGCGGTCGCCAACTTTGCGTAGAGGTCGCGCATCTTGTCCAGGACTGGTTGCACCAGCTCTCCCTCGCTCAGGCGCAACGCGGACAGCTCCCTCTCCATCATGAGCGTCGCAGCGACGGAGGTAGGGGCGTGCAGCTCCTTCAACACGGTCCACGCCTTTGGACCACAACCAGCTTCTGGTAGCTGGTGCATGATCTTAGTGTAAGGGCCTAAAAAACTCAGGCTATTAAGACTTAATCAAACTTAATACCTCTCCTCGGGGTCACCTCCAAGGGTCCCTGGGTGCCTGGTACAAGACCAGCCCCTATCTTCGGGTCCGAGTTTCTAGATAGAAAAATCGAGACGGACTTAATGAAAGCAGCAAGACCTCTCCTCGGGGTCACCTTGAACGTCGCGCAGCGTGCCGTGCAGATCATCGATATGATTAAGCTGGGATATTCCTTGTATCAAAGCTCGCTTTAAGAGCTTTGAAGTAAGCCAAGTAGCCATGGCTCGGATAGTGTGTGCCTAGCGTTGGAGTGCTAGCGTACTAGCGTTGACTCGGTAGCATTCCGCCGTCGAACTGCACAGAATCGAAATTCCAGCAAGGAAGGAATCCGCTTGAATCAATTTACTATATTCAGGTACAAATAGAGAAGGAATAAATAGTTCTAGCTAGCAAAGACCTTGGGAATCAACCTGGGAACAACCACGGATGATCCCAAATAATTCCAAGCAATAGAACCAACCTGGCTGGACAAAATAGCAGGTGATAGGTTGGTAAACAACCTCTGGTTCTGTTTTTCCAACCTGGTTTAACAACAACCAGGTTCAGGCCCTAAAAACAGAACCTGTTTAGTCTTTGCCCAACCAACCAAATGCTGGTTCCGCTGGTTTTCCCTGGCCCTGTAGCATGCAGATACAGACAAACAACATCCAACCTTCACCTAAATTGTACCCCTATAGTGCCTGCCCTGCTACACTATAGTCAACCAAGCAAAACAGTACAATTTCGAGTTGGATAAAACTGAATCTGCGCAATCAATTTAACCGAACCGCAAAGCTTCCATCTTGGGTTCCTTTGCGAGCTCGTCCTTTCTGCTTCCACTGTTCATAGCGCGTACAATGTTGTGCCGAAGCGCACATTGCGCGAGTACCTGCAAATGCATCAAGCGAAAATTGCGAAAGCAAACAAACACACGAACATTCCATTCACACCCAAATGCATTCACACACACATACTCGTACAAACAGACGGCAGGATGTCGTGCAATATGAATTTGCACCCAACACACTCCCCCTCAGCCTGCCGGCTGCATCCTCATCATTCCATGCTAGTTCATGCTCATTCCTCTGATGCGTATACAACGCCAACGAGGCTCATCAGCAAGCCTCTTGGTGAGGAAGTCTGCTGGCTGCTGGTGAGTCTTGATGTAGATCGGATTCACCGTCCCCCTCTTCACCTCCTTACGCAGCCAGTGTCACTTGATACGCATGTGCTTGTTCAGCCTATGAAGCACAGCGTTCCTGGCCATCCCAAGAGCCCCCTTGCTATCACAAAACAGCGGCGTAGCAACCTTCTGCTCCTGACCAATCTCCTCTGCCAAATCACCTCCTTCACCCAATGGAACATCGCCATGTACTCTGATTCCACAGAGGAGAGTGCCGTCTTGGTCTCCTTCTTGGACCTCCTACTAACAGGTCCTCCCCCAACTACGCAGATGTATCCTCCCACAAATGAGGAATCCTCCTTCTCAGAAGCCCAAGTAGCATCGGTAAAGCAAGTTAGAAAGAGCTTGCCTTCTCCAAGCCGCTCCCCCTTCTCCTTCAGCACCTCAACCCCTTTCTGCTTCACCTGTGCAGATGCGGAGTATTGAACTCCAATGGTTGGGTGAGAGTTTAGGTACTTCACCACACGTTCAGCTGCATCCACCTGCTCCTCAGATGGATTCTGCACTACCCTTGTCAGCTGCCCAACTGATAAAGAGATGTCGGGCCTCATGTGAACTGCTGCATACAGGAGGCTGCCCACCAAAGACTGAAATTGCTGCTGCTCCTCGGCTTCAACCCCTTCATCCTCTGCAGCCTTTACAAGCTTGAACTCACCTGGCAGGGGAGTTGCAATCTTGCGCCCATACTCAATTCCATACTTCTTCCCCAGCTGCTTGACAAGCTTTTCTTGGTGCAGCTTTAACCACCTGTGATCCAGATCCCTCTCCACGTGCATCCCGAAGTAGTACTTAACCTTCCCAAGGGTCTTGCATTTGAAGTTCTCCATCAGCTGCTGCTGCACTTTCTGGATCTCCTTCATGCTGCTGCTGAAGAGAAGAATGTCGTCCACGTAGACCAGAAACAGCACCAGCTCCTCCCCCTCCCCCTTGAGAAAGAGGCTCTCATCACAGCTGCTGGTCCTGAATCCCATCTCCTCTAAAACAGCTGCCAACTTCTGGTACCAGCAGCGTGGCGCCTGCTTCAAGCCGTAGATGGACTTGTTAAGCGTGCACACTTCGCCCGTACCATCCTCATACCCTGACGGCTGCGTCATGTACACCTCATCCTCTAATGTTCCGTTGAGAAATGCCGTTGATATATCCATCTGAATGATAAATTTCCCACTAACGGCTGCATCTGCCAACAAGACATGGAGGGTAGGGGGTTTGGCAGTGGGAGCAAAGATCTCATCGAAGTCCCTCATCTCCTTCTGCTGAAACCCGTTGGCCACCAACCTACTCTTGTAGATGGTGACCTGCCCCTTGTCATCGGTCTTAATCCTCAACACACTCTTGCACTGTAAGGCTTTCTTCCCCTCAAGCAGCACCACCAGATCCCATGTCCCATTTCTAGCTGGCTCAGATACTCGGCATCCCTAGAAGCCAGCCACTTATCCCTATCTGGTCCAGCTAGTGCCTCCTCCATGCTAGCTGGTTCCTCTGATGCAGGGGCAAGAAAACAGTAGGCAGGTTCATCATGCTCATTCCCAAGCTGCTGCTCTGCTACATCAGCTCCTGCAGTCAGCTTCATTGTTGCCATGCGGGTGCGTCCTGGCCTAGAGACGGGTGTCTCCCATCCCTTCATAACGACACCCTTCAGAATCCTCCTTTGTTGTAGCTTAGGCACCTTAGCTTTGCCCTGCTGCTGCTCTCCTCCCTCAGATCCAGCAGCTTCCCTGGTGCCACTAGTCTCCACATCATCTCCTCCACCAGCAGGTGCCTCTTGCACCTTCTCTCCATCACCACCCTCTGCAGCTGCCTCCTCTCCCTCCTCCCACACACTAGGAGTCAGGTCCAGCTGCATGGTAATCTGCTCCATCTGCTGGAACACCCCGGTGTTTCTCCCAGCTCCCATACATCATGCCCTCAACAAACTTCACATCCCTGCTGTCAAACAACACACCCTTGGATGGTTCCCACAACAGCCATCCCTTGCTCTCAGCAGCCAGCCCTAAATGCACTCACCAGATTGCACTCGCCCCCAACTTACTGCGGTAGGTCTTGGGGACGTGGGTGACTGCCATGCAACCAAACAGCCTCAGCATATCCACCGGCGGCTTCCTCCCAAGCCACCTTTCCAACGGCACCCACGAGTCATCCCCAACCTTGGTGAGCACCCTGTTCTTAGCCACGGTAGCGTGTCGGACAGCATGAGGCCACATGGAATTGCTCAGCCCAGATTCTATAAGCAGCGCCCTAGCTGTCTCCAGAATTGTCCGGTTTGCCCGTTCTGCTACACCGTTGGACTGTGGGGTGTAAGCCGTGGTCAGCTCCCTCTGAATGCCCTGCTTCTTGAGCCAGGCTGTCATTTCAGCTCCAAGGAACTCATCACCTCGGTCTGTCCTAATCCGCTTCACTACACACTCCGCTTGCTTCTCCACAAATGGCAGCCAATCGTCTCGTATCGTGGAGGCGGCGTGATCCTTCTGCTTCAGCGGATACGCCCACATCAGCCTGCTCCAATCATCCACTATAGTTAGGAAATACCGCTTCCCCTTATGCCTTTGCATTGGCAGCAGCCCCACCAAGTCCATGTGGACCAGCTCCAAAGGCTTCTTGCTCCTGCCAGCCACACTGTGGAAGGGGAAACGGGTAAACTTTGAGAGAAAATAAAATTCACAGTTGTCATCGAGTGGCTATCCGTTCAGCTTCAGACCCTTTACTACTCCATCCTTCTCAAACTGCTCCAACAACGGCATTGCTACATGCCCCAAGCACCGGTGTGCTGTTGCCCAATCTGTCTCCCGAGATCTAGCCAACACTTTCACACCAACCCCTCCAACGGCGTTGCACTCCCCCTGGGATGCAGACCCCTCTCCA